TTGTCTAGGGGAAAAGAAAATGGAAAAAATAGAATGCTTCAATTATCTATACAGTAAAATTTAGAAAAATTGGTTTTGCAGATTCAATGTCAGTGTGGAATCTTCTTAGAGAATTCCAGATCAGAAAGGTTCACATGGCTGTTGTTCTTAATGGATATGGTGGAACTGTTGGGGTATGTGCAAAGCCTCATATTGAAAGTCTACTTAAACATAATCATCCATTGTGTTGAGATTTTTCATTATGATAAAGTTCCAACTTCTATCTTTTTATTTATTTTTATTTTGTGATGCATGTCAACTTATGCTAACTTGTAATATCTTGAAACAATATGAGACAATATTTGTGATATTTTGAACTTTATTCTACAGTTAGATGCTAACAATGCTTCCCCTGCTAAGAGGCTGAACAACTAAACAAAATTTTTTCAATTGTAGCTAAAAGTCCTAAAGACAAAACCTTATTCTTTATTAGCTTGTTCCTTTTGCCCACTTGAAGTAGTATTTGTTCATTGTTTGTTGGTATCCAAATGCCATAACATAAACTGAATAAAACGAATGATGGTAAAAAGTCAAACAGGATAATATGCTGACCACTTAAAATCTAAATGATTGGTATGACCCCTCAATCCTTAACTCATGAGCTCCTAGCATTAGGATGTTATTCAAATCTTACAACTTCAGAATGTTTAGCATGTAACATTAATATTAGGTTCAATCTCAAGTGATTCTTATTTTATGCATTGCTGCTAATTGTATTAGCAGGAGGAGATCCAGAAGAAAACTGGCTATATTGTAATGGGAGCAGAGGGAGTATATGATGTTCATGCCCATGCATCTATTTATTGGCTGAGGACTTGAATATCGAAATGCCAGAGGTATATTATTCCATACTATTACTGGTTTTCATTGTTATGGTGTATAGAGCACTGAATGGAGAATTTAAACATTAAAGCTAAAGACTTAGTTATTAGGATCATTTTTGCCTTTGATTATTTCTTGTATTGTACGCTTCTCCTGCTATTTCCACAGGCTCATTAAAATTTCATTCTCTGCCACATAGTAGTTGAACGTAGGAATCTTAAAAATAGACAGGCTTATAAACTTGATATTTCTGATCCCAGTTGCAAGTGAAATTTTGTTTATTGTGACTGTTGTGGGATTATTATGCTTTATGGTTAAGTGACCGCTGCTTTAAAAATTAAGAAACAAATGAAAAAGGAAAAGGAGAGAGGATAAAGTAAATGGTTAAAATTGTAATGTGATTTTCAATTCATTTTGAAGTAAAGGCACAGTTAATCTCACACTGTAAATAACCATCAAAATGTTTCTTTAACTTTTAAATTTCATATTTCTAATTGATTGTTCTTTGTTCACCATGCCATTCTATAGGAACATCAGTATGAGACACTATCTGGTTTTGTATGCGAAGTATTTGGATACATCCCTAGGGCTGGTGAGCCCATCAAAGTTGTCCTCAAAAGGGATAATCGAGATGATGATGATAAGCATGATGGAGATGGATTTGATCATCAAGATTTGAAGGAAAGGCATCAAATATATAGACTTGAGGTAGGGTCAAAGCACTGAATGGATTTCAGTAAAAAACCTTAGAAAGAAAATAAACGTAGCTAGCAATCATGCAGTCTCTTGACTCTCTTCCACATGTAACTTTCTGAAATCAATGCTATTATGCGGGCATGCATTTGTTCATATAGAAATCTGCTTTTATATTGTTCATCCTATGAGATGCTTCATTTGGTGGCTTAGTTTGCTAAATGAAACTTAGCAATTGATAATAATAATTTATATGCTCCGTTCTTGTGTAACATTCAAGTTTAAACATTTTTTTCTGGAAAATAAATTATCCATGTGATAACTGTATAGGCTAATAATTCTAAATCTTGAGCACACAATTGAATTACTGATTAATGTGAGTGAAATGTGGTCCCTGGTGCAGATATTAGCTGCAAATGCCCAAAAGCTTAGTGCTGTTCGTTTTGAGCAGATAAACATGCATATGACAGTGTCTCTGGACCATAAATTCTCCAATATTGGAGTCTAAACGGCCTGAACCTGGGTATTCCTGCCTTGTAGACTGGCTTCTCTTTTGACTATACACTGAAGAGGCAGATCTGACTGAAGCATGAGTGTAGGGTGGAAAAGCGATCTGCATGGCACATAAGGCATAGTTGCATTGATCTGCCTTGATTTAGGCAACATCCATAAGCTAAAAACTTTCTCTTGCCTTATCTCCTTGGCTCTCTCCAACTGTCTGAACCTTTCTTGCAGAAGAGCAACGGATGGATGAACAATTGCTGAATCAATCTGTCTATCTTTACTCATTGGAAGATGAAGAGGAACCTCAATGGGATTGATGCAAGTACTCTTTAATGAGACCTCATATGCATATGCACATATATATAGGACATAGCTAGGACTTAAGATGATTATTTTAATTCATTCATTCCGGCTATTT